TGTTATAGGTATCTAAGGTAAAAATTATTTTGTTCTACACAAATTAACATTCTGCCAATATTTTGTAGGCCAAGATATTTTGCTGGAAAAATTTTCAATACTTTATACAGGTATCTCATGTTATAATTTTCTGTCTTATGGTAGTCCCCATATTTTTTCAATATTTTCATATTTATTTTACCACATTGGCCATCTAGGGCAACCCTATTATGGAAACCTTCACCATTATTCATTCATTAGCTGTCTTGAAGTGCACAGACATGACCCTCCAAATTACAACATCCCCACTCCTTCAAAGTGCATGCACTGTATGTCCCACCTCCAAGACTAAAGTTCAGGTGACAGGTTTCTGTGAATCCCTTCATAAATGTAACCTTGCTTACACTCCAACAGCACATCAGATCCCTATAACCACCTGTCTGTACTCAGCCCAGTTTAACACCTTTACACATGCCTACTGGATGCTTGAACCCCTACCACTTAATCCTTTCAGGGTCGCCAGGCCCTCTCCCAAACTTGTTCTCAGGGTCGCCCAAATTTCAAAAAAAAAAAAAAAAAAATTATTTTTTCTTATGAAAATATAGAGAATCTTTTTCCGATCATAATGACACCAGAAGTATGAAATTCGATGGAAAACTTACGGAATTATGCTCTCGCGAAGTTAGCATTGGTGATTTTGCCCACTTTGAACCCTATTTTTGGCCAATTTCAGTGTACTAGTCGACAAAAATCATAACTATTTCACTAGAACTACATTTTTTCTATCGAATGAGTACAAGAAACTGCCCATTTACCGATTTCAACTATCCAATACAGTGGTCAGAATTTAGCAATTTTGCCAATTTCACACAAATTTCAAAAGATGCCAATTTCCAAATAGGGTTCAGAATAAACAAGAAAGACATTCCTGGCACTAAAATAACATTTCCTCTGTTCATTAGTCATGTCCCCACACCCCTCTTACATTCTTTTGCTTTCCACTTTGAATTTTTATTCCCACAAAAAATAGAAGATTTACTGTTATGCAGACTACTGCATTAGTGTAGAAATGGTATAAATAATATCAGCGCACTTGTGAAAGAATATTAGACTCAGCAGTTGACGTGTATTGGATACTTAGCATGATTTGTTTACTTTTGAACTTTGGCAAAAATTGAAGATTTCTGCTACTTTGAGCTCAATTTCAAGGTACATACTTTTCATTGTAAAACCAATCAAAATCGTCTCAATTTCTGTAACATGTCTTCCATTCTATAAAATGAGACCAAGAAAACTAGAATACCATCATAAATACCATACAAAAATACAGTGCAAAGTCGCTGTTTTAAACCAAAAACACTCAGTTTTTTTTTCTCATTACGCACTGTGTGCTGCAGGATTTTTTTTTATACTGCGCACACTGACCACATAGACCCAGTCTTTCATATGTAGGCCTACCAGCTTTCTCTTAATAGATTTGAGGGTGCTAGAATTTAGGCATACTAGTATGTCAAAAACCCTGGTGCGTAAGCCGTACTAGTACGTCAGAAACCCTTCTTCAGTTTTATGGAAACTAAAATCTTGGTATGTTGGATGCATATTCATATGATATTAAATAAGTGCTAATATATTGTGTTGTAAAAAGTTTAATGTCCTTTAATTATACTAATATGCATTAGTAACTTGTGTAAAGTACATAGTTTAGTTAGTTACTTATACATGTATACTGTATACAATAATAAATTTTGTTTTTAAAGTCATTGGGTATTATACTTTTAACTGTATCAAAAGCAGAGCACTATTGTTACATTGCTCACAATTCTTCAGATCACTAGCCTCTGCCTCTACCTCTCCTCCCACATCTCAGTTCCAGTGAAAGTGAGTAGTTTGGTGATACTGACAAGCTGTGGAATGTGGTAAAGATGAAATATACAAAGATCAGAGACCAAGGAGAGTTAGGAGTATGCAAGAGGCAGAGTTAGCCAGGGTACTGGGGAGCACTAAAGGGAAAGTTAGTGTAATAGGGCAGTTGCTGAAAGCTAAAGAGGGAGCCTGCATCAAAGATGGGGCTGTCAGCAAGAAGATCGGAAAGTGGATGTACATTTTGTGTGCTCGCTGATAGACAGGACAGTCTAGAGATGGTGAACTGACAAGGGAACTTGACATTCCTCACAAAGTGGTGGTGAGTATTTCTCCATGAGATATTTGTGAGTAAAATGTGTGTTGTTATTATTATAATCAAAGGAAGCACTAAACCTACAAGGGGTGTGTGTTATGTAGGTGGGAGAGTGGTCTCACAAACATGACAGCAGTGATAAGATGACCAGAAACCTAAACAGGGTTTGACAGAATGCAGTTTATTATGGGCCAACTCAGACCACCGGTGTTGCCAGTGGTTGTGAAGTTGTCTAGAGATTACTGCAGAATAATCTATGAAATAAGGTCATCAATGGCTGATCACACAGCAAAGTCTGCCTGCTAATGCATACATTTGAAAAAAAAAAAATGCTGTCTGTTAAATGTTTTTCTAATCATTGAATCTTAAATTTTTGTTTATTTTTTTTTTTCAGCTAAATAACATGTCCCTGGCTGTTGGTTATCCAGAACGTCTCTTGAACCCAACTGTGATTAATTTTTATTATGAAGACTATACAATATTCATCAAAGACTTCTTCCAGAATCTTCAGGTAAATATTCCTTAGAAAGCAAAGCTATCCCTGTATGATGTGCAACTTTTAAAAATTACAAAACGGTATTAATGCAGTATATTAAGATGACAGTGATAGAGTGAATGATTGTGAAAGCATTTCTTCTTTTTGGGGCCACCCTACCACAGTGGGAAATGTCCAGTGTGTTAAAAAAAAAAAAAATGATGACCATCTGGATATTACTTAATTATATGCTTTGATATAACTTGTCTGCTTAAGTTATTTTTTATTGTAAGAAAAATTGCACTAATGGCATCTGTCACATTGGATGAGATAATGGCTGCTACATGATCATAGTTTTGGTTGTAGAATCTATGTATTCTACAATTCCTCCCTCTTCTACTAACTAGAATTCATCTCTGTCAACATTAAGGAATAAATCTGTCACAATAAATATTTACAAAGATATCAGCCACACTCCCATTATTTCCATCGAAATAGAATGGTGCATGTCATGGCCCAGACTAGAAATGTGCTGCAATTTGTAACAGTCACATGTTATGCACACACCATTATATACTACTGTGTAATATATAGTACAGGGTGTCCACAAAACACTCCCTTATTTCAAACAGGTGTAACATGTAACTTTATTGTAATAATCTTTCACAGTTAGTAACTTCAGATGCAGGATTTCATTGTTTTATGTGGTATAGGGTACCATTAAAGGCACTCAGTGTCTGCCCCTCTTATTGCTCGGCAAACTCTGATGCGATAGTCCAGTTTGATCCAGATGCTCGGCAGCATATCTGGAGTTATCATGTGAACTGCTTCAGTGATCGAAATTTTCAGCTCCTCTAGGGTTGCAGGTAGTGGTGGTACGTAAACTGTGCTCTTCATGTGTCCCCAAAGAAAGAAGTCACAAACAGGTCTGGTGACCTTGCAGGCCACTTGCAGAGATCACTGGACCTAACTGTTTGTGACTTCTTTCTTTGGGGGTATGCGAAGAGCACAGTTTACATACCACCACTACCTGCAACCCTGGAGGAGCTGAAAATTTTGATCACTGAATCAGTTCGCATGATAACTCCAGATACGCTGCCGAACATCTGGACCGAACTGGACTATCACATCGATGTTTGCCAAGCAACCAGAGGGGTGCACATTGAGTGCATTTAATGCTACCCTATACCACATGAAACTGAATGAAATCCTGCATCTGAAGCTACTAACTGTGAAAGATTATTACAATAAAGTTACATGTCATACCTGTTCGAAATCAGGGAGTGTTTTTGTAGACATCCTGTACTTTCAGCTACACTGAACACTTTCATGTGTAGACACCTTCAGACATTTCCAGCAAAATGCAGTGCTAATGTTTTTTGCCAGATGGAAAAAAGTGTTTAAGCAGAGTTTCTTACTTGGCAGTCACAGTATAGTAGTACCCTCCTAGGTCCCAACCCTTACAGTTAACAAAGTATTATTTCTACAGTTTATTAAGAGGCAAGAATGCACACTATTTAGGAAACTTGGTACTTGAGGGCTGTATGTTTGACAAAGAAGTATGTTGAAGTTACCAATAAATAAATGTATCTATATACTGACTTTAGTGAAATAAATGGATATTTTATTCTTTATAAGCACTGTAGTTTAAAATATTAAAATTGTAAATTGTACTGTATTGGAGGGAATTTGTATACTATAGTGTAATGTACAGGGAGAGTACAGTACAGTACCTGCTTTAAGCGAACAGACCTCTTCCAGGATTCCATCCGAAGTGCTGGACGACAAATGGAAATGAAGCTCATAGATCCACTGCCAGAATCTGATTGGATGGATGCCTTATCAGAAGATTCAGTCACATATGTGCACGAAGCAAACAAGATAGTTATTCCGCCACACTTGCTCAACCCTCCACTCTTTCACCGCAATTATCCATTGTAAGTTTATGCTCCAAGTTTAGCTATTTCAAGAATTTTGTTTACTAAAATCAACTTTTTATCTCTGCAAGTTCCTATCATGTATGATATGGTTAAGTTGGATTATTATACTGTAATTCCAATAATGATATTTATCAGTAATGCCATCATTTCTACTCTGATTTTGTTTTCATAGTATGGGGCAGAGGCAAAATTTATTAGACGAGCCTGTGATTTATTCGGGTACAGAATATACAGTGGAATTACAGTGTGCCACATTTAACTAAGTTTGGTATCCAAAAGTGGTGGGTTGAAGTATCTGTGGAAAGAGTTTTCTGTGGAGGCATGTAAAGGTAATGTACCCAAGTATAGTAGTACCATCATTTTTATATGGTTTTGAGGCATGGGTTTTGAATGCTGCAGGGAAGAGGAGGATAGAGGCAGCACAGATGTTGTGTTTGAGAGCAATGTGCAGAGTATCATGCAGACAATTCAGAATGTAGAAATTAAAAGGCAGTGTGAGGCGACCAAGAGTATAATTCAGAGAGACGAGGAGAGGTTATTGAGGGGGTTGGAGCATAAAGAGAAAATGGACAGGGATAAGTTAATGAAGGTATATAAATCTGGGGTGAAAGATAAAAGGGAAAGGGGTTGTCCCAGGAATGGTTGGAGGGAGGGGAGGGTGTACAGAGGCTTCAAGTTTTAGGGGCTTGAGCATCCAGCAGGCTTGTGCAAGTACAGTAGACCCTCGGCTAATGATATTAATCTGTTCCTGAGAGCTCATCATTAAACGAAATTATAGTTAGCTGAATTAATTTTCCCCATAAGAAGAAATCAAATTAATCTGTTCCTGACACCCCAAAGTATGAAAAAAAAAATTTTACCACATGAAATATACATTTTCCTACACACAAAAAGAAGACGACATGCACAATTACTACTGTACTAAATAAAGAATACATGACACTTACCTTTATTGAAGATCCTTTAATGATTGATGGGATGGGAGGAGGGGAGATGGTGGAAGTTGTTATTGTTTGGAAGGGGAATCCCCTTCCATGAAGACTTGAGGTAGCAAGTCCTTTTCTGGGTTTACTTCCCTTCTTCTAATGCCACTAGGACCAGCTTGAGAGTCACTGAACCTCTGTCGCACAACAAATATGTCCATAGAGGTCTGTACCTCGCGTTCCGTTTAAGATTTGCCTAAAATGGGCCACAACATTGTCATTGTAAGTCACCATCACGGCTTGCAATAGCTGTGTTAGGGTGATTTTCATCCATAAAGGTTTGGACTTCATCCCACTTTGCACAAATTTCCTTAATCTTTGAAGTAGGCAACTTCTTCAGTTTTTCTCCCCTCCTCTAAAGCAGTTTCCTCAGGTCTGGCCTCTTGCTGTTGCAGATGCTCTTGCAGCTCATCAGTGGTTAGTTCTTCATCGTCCTCCTCCACCAACTCTTCCACATCCTCCCCACTAACCTCCAACCCCAAGGACTTCCCCAATGCCACAATTGATTCCACATCTGGCATAGGCTTCTCAGGGTTAGCCCCAGACCCTTCAAAATCCCTCTCTTTTACACATTCTGGCCACAGTTTCCTCCAAGCAGAGTTCAAGGTCCTCTTAATCACTCTCTCCCAAGCCTTACCTATAAGGTTTACACAACTGAGGATATTAAAGTGATCTTTCCAAAACTCTTAGGGTCAGTCGAGTGTCTGAGGTCACTTCAAAGCACTTTTGAAACATAGCTTTTGTGTAGAGTTTTTTGAAGTTTGAAATGACCTGCTAGTCCATGGGCTGCAGGAGAGGAGTGGTATTAGGAGGCAAAAATTTGACCTTGATGAAGCTCATGTCCCCAGAAATTCGCTCTGCTAAGTCTGAAGGATGACCAGGAGCATTGTCTAATACCAGGATGCACTTAAGGTCCAATTTATTTACCAGGATGCACTTAAGGTCCAATTTATTTTCCAGGAGGTAATTTTTCACAGTGGGGGCAAACACATGGTGAAACCAGTCATAGAAAAAGTCCCTAGTGACCCATGCCTTACTGTTTGCCCTGTGGAAATAAATGGTATAAAATACTGACACAATGGAAATATAAACACATATGCAGTATAATGTGATCCTTTATTGACTACGTTTCGCCCACACAGTGGGCTTTTTCAAGTCACAAACAGATCTACCTGGGGTGGAAGGGACGCGAGTATTTATAGTCAGGTTCAGAATGCATTCTGAACCTGACTATAAATACTCGCGTCCCTTCCACCCCAGGTAGATCTGTTTGTGACTTGAAAAAGCCCACTGTGTGGGCGAAACGTAGTCAATAAAGGATCACATTATACTGCATACATGTATGTGTTTATATTTCCACTGTTTGCCCTACACATCACACATAAATTAGCCTTGACGACATTGTTTTTCCTGAATACTTTGGGAGTTTCAGAGTGATACACCAATAAAGGCTTCAACTTTGCAATCACCACTAGCATTACCACACAACAAAAGAGTAAGCCTGTCTTTCATTGGCTTATGTCCTGGGAGTGCCTTTCCCTCCTGAGTAATGTAGGTCCTGTTTGGCATTTTCTTCCAAAACAGGCCTGTTTCGTTACAATTAAACACTTGTTCAGGTTTCAGTCCTTCAGCCATTATGTACTCCTTGAATTCCTGCACATATTTTTCAGCCGCTTTTTGGTCCGAACTGGCAGCCTCACCATGCCTTATCACACTATGTATGCCACTATGATTCTTACATCTCTTAAACCAACCTTTGCTGGCCTTAAATTCACTCACATCACCACTAGTTGCAGGCATTTTTTTAATTAAATCGTCATGCAACTTCCTAGCCTTTTCACATATGATCGCTCGAGAGATGCTATCTCCTGATATCTGTTTTTCGTTTATCCATACCAATAACAGTCTCTCAACGTCTTTGAGTATTTGCGATCTCTGTTTCAAAAACATACTTGCACCTTTTGCAAGAACAGCTTCCTTGATTGCGGTTTTGTTGCCCAAGATAGTAGCGATGGTTGATTGGGGTTTGGTATACAACCTGGCCAGCTCTGAGACACGCACTCCACTTTCGTACTTTGCAATTATCTCTTTCTTCATTTCCATACTAATTCTCGCCCTTTTTACCACAGGGTTGGCACTAGAAGCTTTCTTGGGACCCATGGTGACTTATTTTGCAGTTACAAGCGCTAAAAACACTGTGATAATATGAAATGTACCGAATGTATGAGTAGATGCGACCGCACTGGCTGGCTTGTAAACACTGGCACACATGGGGCCACATGTGGACGCGTACTGGACGAATTACGTTGGGCGAGTTTTTTATCATTAGCCAGGCCAATATTTTTACGCTCAAACGCTTCGTTGGGCGGATTTAACGTTATGCGATGTGTTCGTTAGCTGAGGGTCCACTGTATTAGTGAATGGTGGTAACTAGTTTTTAAGAGACGTACTGTTGGAGTGTGAGCAGGGTAACTTTATGGAGGGACTCAGAGAAACCGGTTAGCTGGACCTGAGTCCTGGAGACAGAAAGAGCAGTGCTTGCACTCTGAAAGACTGGTGGGGAAGTTGGTGAGAGAGGTAATTTGAATATAATGTCAGCACATTTCTGGAAAGAAGGTAATCGAGTGAATGTTAATGAAGTGTTTTCCTTGGGTCACCCTGCCTTGGTGGAAGATAGCCAGTGAGTTAAAGAAATGTTTCAAATTAAAATTAATATTAAAACTAATAAAAAATGACATTCAAAACATATTAATTATAACCTCAGTAAATGCAAAAGTTGTATAAAAACTCTCACTCCTTGTGTGTAACATTGCAACATTGGATGACAAAAATAATGTGTTAAGCCTTTGGTTTGCAAAGCTAATTTATAATTAATCATTAAGTTATTTTAGAGGCAGTGATATTAGCATTTCTTAAAATGAATTGTCCCTTGTGTTATTTTGTCTTTCTTTAGTTTGATTCACACTCTGTAATTTAGTTTACTACCAAATATTTTCATTACTCTTATCTTTTAGGACCATGCTATATGGAAGCCTGGGTGTGCAAATTGCTCGTGAAATGCTGCGAGCTGTTGATGCCGTTGGTCTTGCATGGAACAGCAAAGGACAATTTGCTGAACGAACAGTATATACAAACAGGTTAGGCTACCATAATTTAGCATTCTAAGATACTTTTGTTTTTTACAGTGGTATGTTAGTAATACATGTACTCCAGTATTACTATTATTATTATAATTATATTTAGGGGAATTACTAAACCCATAGGGGTTAATAATATTTTGTTAGGAATACACTGGCTAGGCTGAATGTGACCTTTTTTATTTCCTTTCCCATGGCTCAGTTGGTAATGCACTCTACTCACACAGTGTGTCCAGGGTTTCATCCCTGGTATGGGTGGAAACGTTGGGCATGTTTTCTTACACCTACTGCCCCTGTTCACCTAGCAGTAAGTAGGTATCTGGGCGTTAGCCGACTGGTGTGGGTTGCATCCCCCCAAAAAAGGCACTTAAATTTCTCAGGAGGTTGATTATACTTCACAACATTGAAGTGCCTTTGTGGTGATTTTGTTGACTTGGTAGTGAATTCAGTTCAAGAATTTCTCAAGGCTAGTTCTTTGGAATACACTTCATTTGAGAAATTAATGCATGAAACATCTTGCTATGAAACTAAATTAAACCAGTATTGTATTAATGGGAATTGAACACAATTTTGTGGTACTACCTACAATATATTCTAGTCCTACATTACTGTTTACCTGGAGTTTACCTGGAGAGAGTTCCGGGGGTCAACGCCCCCACGGCCCGGTCTGTGACCAGGCCTCCTTAGGTCAGTGTCCCAGGATGCGACCCACACCAGTCGACTAACACCCAGGTACCCATTTTACTGACGGGGAACATAGACAACAGGTTGAAAGAAACACGTCCAATGTTTCTACTCTGGCTGGGAATCGAACCCAGGCCCTCGCCGTGTGAAGCGAGAGCGTTAACCACCAGGCCACCAGAGCTCCTACCACTCCTACCACACATTGTAAGCTTTGCAAGGAAATAAACATTTCTCATTATATCATGAAAAGGTCAGTAAGTATAGATAAAGAATATCTACTGAATGAAGTTGTGGAAAGGGAAAGTGATTTCTTGCATTGTCAACATATTCATGCAGTAAGAGTCAGTCAGTAATGTAACATTGATCAGATATGTACAATATTGTGTTGCATTTCTATTGTTAAGATTACTAAGGGTAAAGTATCATACTTTTAAATAATGACCCAAGTGGAAATAAGTTGTATATTTTGACTTTGTTGAGTTATCCTAAGTTAAGTGTTCGTAATATACATGTATGCTCACATCCCTGTGTTCTCGAAACCACTTTAAAAATTTAAACTTAAATTTGTAAAACCATTTGTAAATTCTGAATAAAAAGTAATAAAATTATGTACTGAGAATTGGATAATTGAGGCATTTTGGATTAGTAGTGAAATACTGGTGAAAAATGTATGTTTCTTGTTAACACTAGAATATGTGCATTATACACCTTTCTGTTAAAACCTTTTTAATATAAACAGAATTTTTCAAAGTTTCTAGTCTTGCTAGTGAGAATTATTATTTATTTATTTATTTATTTTATGTCTTTGCAAACAGTACATTGAGATTTTGTATTTACAATAGTGGGTTGCAAGGCAAAGAGAGTCTCTATTATGCCTAGGCATTATGGGCCAACTTAACATTATTGGTTTACAGACTACTTAATACTAAGGAGTATATCATAGTTGTACAGTACGATAGTAATTATTTCATAGTTGTACAGTAGAATATTAATTATAAATGAATCAAAATTTGTATAATACAAAGATATATTTATATTCAAAAATGCTTTTTGTGAAAACAATGATTCAATTATATTCCTGTCAACAATGGATGAAAGGTTCAATGTGATTGTTTCAGTTATGATGTGGGAGTACATAGGTGAGTAAGCGTCGTCTTGCCTCATAAGAGATGTAGGTAGATTTACTCTGTAATAGTTAAATGTGCAATATAGTTAACATTAACTTTGGTACTCTTGAACAGATCGCTGGACAACCTACGAGGGATGGCAGACTGCATAGCTTCTGCAACTATGGATCTCGCTATAGAAACAGATGCTGTTGTAGATAGAACGGCAGCTGATACAGCTTCAGAGGTTGATGCCATACGACAGACGTACCAGGTAGGCTTTGCTGCATTTTAGCATGCATTATTCAAGAAAATTGCTTTTTTTTTCTATAAAACACACACACACACACACACACACACACACACACACACACACACACACACACACACACACACACACACACACACACACACACGCGCGCAAAAGGTGCTTGAATTATCAGCTTAAAAAGTACATTCAAAGTAAGTCCAACTTTATAGTAAATTAACAAGATGCAAAACAGATGAGCAAAATATGAATAAGTAAGCAATCTAAGCAATACAAATTTCAGTGTAACATCTCAAAGTTAATATAATATGTATAGTATAGTCAAATTAACGGTGCAATATAAATAAGCAAGTTTGCTTGGCAAGATTTGGTTTCTGTATTGTGATTGTGCACCATAACTAGATAATTGGTTCCCACAAAATTCTCCCGAGGAGCTGTGCCCTCTGGTGAAGGGCTCTTAAACCTAGGAACCTATTCCATTGTTGGATTGAACCCAATTGTCTCTAAGTCCCCAGGTTGTGCAACCCCCTATGGGTTTAGCACCTCTCCACTTTTTTTTTTTTTTTAAACATGTCGGCTATTTCCCACCGAGGCAGGGTGACCCAAAAGAAAGAAAAAACTATCATTCAGCATTTTCACCATCACTCATACATAATCACTGTCTTTGCAGAGGCGCCCAGATATGACAGTTTAGATAGTCACTCCAATCTGCTAATATCCCAAACCCCTCCTTTAAAGTGCAGGCATTGTACTTACCATTTCCAGGATTCAAGTCCAACTAACCGGTTTCCCTGAATCCCTTCACAAAATATTACCCTGCTCACATTCCAACAGCTCATCAGGTCCCAAAAAACATTCGTCTCCATTCACTCCTATCTAACATGCTCATGCACGCTTGCTGGAAATCCATGAATATGACAGTAATCTAGGTGCATGTTGATATGGAAAATTAAGCTAACTGAATGATTCTTCACTGCTGCAAATCTTTTTTTTTTTTTTTTTTTTCAAAAAACTGGGACGATTGTGAATGAATTGACAATCTTGAGGCTATTCTCTTTGATCCAGGGGCTTTTGAGTAGCTATCTTGTAGGCTTGCATAACCCATTAGTTGCTACTATTATACCTTTAAACTGGACTGCATCCAGTAGGTGGTTTTGGAAGAAATAAACCATCATGGGACACAGACACATACTGATAAACCAAAAAGTTATACCAGATGACATCACTCTTTGATTTCTTTTTATATATATTTTTTACAACTTTATTATCTATTAATATGCAGATATTTTGCAGGCCTACCTCTCTTTGATGAAGCTTCAACCTCAGCCCCAGCATCCAAGCTTCGAGTCTCTCAACACAACCAACATATTTTTCATGGCTTATGCTGGAGTAAGTTATCACATTACAAGTGCATGTTGACAAGCTACTTATTTTGAATTTAGTACATTTTACATGTTTTCAGTTTCATTGTTTGACTTGAAATATAGCTTCATTATGTCTCTTCAATACATACCATAGTTTTATATGTATTTAAGTGATTCTCTGCAGAAGATAACTTGGAAACGGTTGTTTCACCCTCTGTAAGTAAGTAAGTAAGTTTATTCAGGTATACACAAATACAGTTACATAGAATTATCATACATAGCAGTATATGTGTAGAGAACCTAGGATAACCTCAAAAAAGTCAGAGTGACTTATTTCCATTGGGGTCCTTTTACCTTATTATTATAATATAAAGGTTATAATATTTTCTTATTATTCTATAATGAAGATAACATCTTATTATCATACTAAAAAGACTATCTACTACACGAGGGTCAATAAGACTATCTACAATACGAGGGTCATTACTAGGAATAAGGTAAAATTTACACGTATGTTAGCTAAAAAAATTGAAAATCATTCCCCTCCCTTTCTGTAGCTACATTCATCAGACACCTTTTGGCACTCTTCTTGAACTGGTTCATGCTATGACTGGCTTTGACATGTGTGGGTAGTCTGTTCCATTTCTTTATTGCTGTACAATAAGAGGTGTTTGAAGCCTGGCCAATGACTGTGGGTACTACAAAGTTGTGCTTTCTCCCCCTAGTACTATGATTGCTTTGGTTCCCAACCTTGACAAAATTGACAGCAAGATATTCTGGACACTGAGCAATTTTATAAACATGATTTAGCTTCAGTTGTTTTACTCTGTCTTCAACATTCAGCATATCCAACTGCTGTAATTCATCCTGGCCTACATGTTCTCTTGGTCCCAGCCCCAGGATGAATCATACGATTTTGTTCTGGGTGATTTGCAGTCTATCTTTCAGTTTTTTTGTCAAGGCAGAGTACCATGAAGAGCAAGCGTAATCCATATGGCATTGTATAAGGGCTAGACATAGGGTCCTGCGAGCCTCAGTAGGTAGACACTGTGCTTGTCTATACAGGAACTTCAGTCTGGCATTCGCTTTCTTTACTACACTGTTCCCTATCAATTCTCCTGACATGCATGGGTCAAAGGGGATTCCCAGATATTTTACTGATGAAACCAAAGTGATGGGCTCCCCATTACACTGGACATTAAAATTATTTACCCTTCTCAGTTTGTTTCGTGCCAAAGAGAATGGCTTCAGTTTTCCCGAGGTGTTATGATAGTTTGTTGTCTACTAACCATTTGCTGCAGGACTCCAGTTCCAGAGTTAAAACAGTAGCTGTATCTTGTGGGTCTTTACCTGACACTAACAGGGCACTGTCATCTGCATACAGTAGGAGTTTGCACTTGACACTGATAGGCATGTCATTGACATAACATAATAATAAGGGACCCAGAATACTACCTTGGGGAACTCCACATGTTATCGGCAGGGGTTCCGATTCCATTTTGTTGAGTTTGACAATTTGTCTCCTGTTGCTAAGGTAGGACTTAAACCAGTCTACAGAACCTATACCGGTAGCTTGAAGTTTCTTGCATAATATATTGTGGTTGACAGTATCGAAGGCCTTTTGCAGGTCTAAGGTTACCACACCTATGAGGTTTCCCTTTGACATTTCAGTTCTCAGGTAATCCATCAGATTAATTAGGGAGGTGTCGGTTGAGTAAGATCTTCTAAAGCCCGATTGATAGCTATGGAGAATGGTGTTGTCATTAAGGTACTTATCTATACTTGAGAGTACACTGCCCTCTCTAGAATTTTGGATATTATACTGAGTATACTAACAGGCCTGTGAGGGAAAAGTTCAATAGATAGGAGTAGCGAGGGAGTATATAGTAACAATAGTTTCATTGCCGGCTACTTGTTAAGGTAGGGTAAGTCAAGCTCCCGCTATTCCCGCCTTTTTTCCCCCACCCCGAAAGTGATAGTTTGACTGCCGGCTGCTTGTTAAGGTAGGGTCAGTCTAGCTCCCGCTATCCCTTCCCCTCCTCCTTCCCCCCCCCCAAAAGGTGACGTGTGGGGCTCTGGTCCAAACAGTAATCACTAGACTCGCAGCTCCCAGCACTACTGTAAGTACATGCCTGCCTTGTATTCTAGTGGATTTATGGGTTGAAAGCTTCACTTTTGACCAATAATAAACTTAGTCTTTTCAGCCTTGCTCTATGTTGACTGTTGTAATAATCACCACATCTTTTAGGTATTGTACTTATCATGGAGAGTGATTATTTAAGCAGTGGGTAACCTGTCTATCTTTTCAGCTTGGATGACAGAGAGGGTCACCTGTCAATCAACGAGAAGAACTGGTGGAGATGGACTAACGTCCTGAGACTTCCCCTTTTTGGATTTTATTATCTGTGCACCTGTATGAAATTGCAGGACGTAACTCCTCATCATTGCAGCGGTAAAGAACCTGCTTTCCTGTCATCAGGATATAATACTCAAGGCTATACTGTGAAGAACTAGCCAGTGGGTCGTAACCAACACATGCGACCCCCCTCCCCCATCATCAGCAATGAATCGATTTCAACAACACCATTTTCCATTTTTCATTTTCTTTAATGTAGGATTAATATTTCATATTTAAGTGTTTTATATTTTATATTTTCTATGTAATAAAGTGTTTATGTTTGTCTGTTATTATTTCTTTTTCTATTCATTAATTTTCCTGAGGAGGAGCCAGCCTTGGTAATACTGTCTGAAGTTATTACAGGGCTGAGTAAGCCTTCACAAGTGGCGACCTTGCCAGGATACAACTCGACAGAATCAAGATTCAATTCCATATCGAATCTACCATTGGAACTTCAATGCTGCATACCACAGACGGTTACCACCAGCCA